TACTTAACAACAACAACAACACCTGATTTCCCCGGCTCCCTCTCACAGTGTGCTTCCACTGAGCTTAAGTTCCCTGTGGCCCTCTGGGCAGGTTCCAGGGGCATAAGGATAGTTCATGATAGCTGGGGCTGGTTCCCCTGCTGTGTGTGGGGCAGGGACCCTAGTGGTGTGGCAGGGCCTTGAATTTCTGCAACTGGCCATACAGCAGCTCGACTCTCATGTCTACGCAGTCAGAGTCAGGTAGAACTCCGGGAACAAATTGACAACCTAGCTACAGAACTGTGCCACATCAATGAGGATCAGAAGGTGGCCCTGGATCTTGACTCTTACGTGAAGAAGCTACTTAATGCTCAGTGACAAGTTGTTTTGGTCAACAACATTCTACAGAATGCCCAGGAAAGATTGAGGTTGCTAAACCACAGTGTTGCCAAGGAAACAGCCCAGAGGAGAGCAATGTTGGATTCAGGAGTTTACCCTCCTGGTTCCCCAAGTAATTAGTGCAGGCCAGAAGATGTGCCCATGGCCTCAGCATATTACAAGTACTGTTCCCCAGCTGCCTTGCTTCAGTCATCATGAGAAGACTCCAGGAGACACTTAATCCCTGTAGACCCTGAGAGAGCAAACTGTCTTATGGTTTGTATTTGAAGCATCCATTTTGTGGGGATCCTAAGCAACTGTACAGGACTCAGGATCCTGAAGAACTTAAGACATTATGGTTCTTGCTTTCCTCCAAGAATGATCTAAGAGAACAAACAAGATGGCAGACCGGGTGGAAGTGCAGTAAGGAGCTCCATCAGCAACAAGACAGAATACAGGACCAAGCAGGCTCAGGGGATGGTCCCAGAACTCTGAACCACATACAAAGGAATATTTAGAAGGTTGGAAGGCTTACAGCTAGGGTTATTTTTAGCAGAAGAAAGAAATCCATTGCTTTCTAATTCAAGATGCTCAGCTGCTGCAGGAGCCACCATCTTGGGTGAGACTAAGCGGGGGAAAGATCAGAGCAGCCACAGACACCTGACAGAACCACAGAGATAAAGGTGTGGACATTCTTTTCTTTTGGTATCTGTTCATTGGTCCCTTGCTGTCTTCGCACCTCCAGTCTGGTGACAATAGGGGTGCCTGAGCTAGTGGACACCCCAGCTCCACCCTCAGAAGGTTCTACTATGCATGCACACAGAGCTCCTCGAAATTTAAAGAGACAGTTTTTACTTAAAACCAAACAGCCACAGCTGACCCTGAACTGTTTATAAGTAAAAAAAAAGGCCTGAACAGGGATTGTGGAGCAGGACAAGCAGACAAAAAAGGAAGTAGGCCAAAAATTAAATCCTAAGTTATGTCAAAACGACCAACAGTGGCATCTTGATATTTCTCAAGAAGAAGACTGAAAAAGGGAAGCCCATTTCCTGATCACATCTACCTAGAAGCAATCAGAAAGCATTAAAA